GGGGGGGGGGGGGCACAGACCGGCCAACTGTACACGTCACCTGCATACCTGAGACCGCTTCTCTGCACACCCTCCTCCTCTGCCTCCCTCCCTTTAGACCTCTACCCTCCCTCCCTTCCCACAGGGTCTCACGGTTAAGGCCTCTTCCGTGATCCCCTCGGTCAAGCCTTTCTTATACAAGCGATCAAAGATGACAGTGTCTGCGCCTTTGGTGTAGAGGTAGATGGAGCCCTCGGGGTTTCGGACTGTGGAGGGAGAGGCCTGGCTGCCCATAAGTGCTCCCCTTCCTGCCCACCTCCATCCCCAGGCTGAGGGTGCTCACCCAGCACAGACATCCGCTTTCGGATGCTGTTGAAGTCCATCATGGCCAGGACCTGGTACACCCGCTCCTCCCCGAGCTCCACCACTGTGATGCTGTCCTGTGTGCGCGCCAGGAACACATAGCCGAAATTCCGGGCTGCTGTGACCAGCGCCTCCTCGTCGGGGGAAGCTGCCTGGTACAACAGCTGGTCTGGGGGGGAGGGAACCATGGGAGTGGGGTGGGGGACACATTCACTGGGAGCCTGCTCTCTTTCGGGACCCACCACCCATTTGCGGCAGGTCCCCCTTCCATCTCCATAGCCCAGGGGAGGAAATGGACACAGTGGGTGCTCACTAGATATTGACAACTCAATGGTCTCTTGAGCCAGTACAACCTCTAAGCCAAATAAAAGAAGGTGGGCACTTGGGTCCCAGGCCAGATGACCTTCTCCTCTAAGCTCAGTAACAGATCTCGAGCCCCAGGCTTAGACACCCTCTAGGTCCAGAAGAGGTGGAGCTTGGGACAGGGCCTGAGAACCCTCTAAGCTGGATGACAGGAGCTCTGGGGGTTGGGCTGGACAACCTCTAAGGCCAGAAGACCGCCTCAGGACCCCCAGGGTATGAGTACCCTCACAGGCCAGGCAGCCCATGACACACTCACTGTCTTTCTCCTGCACCATCACTGTGTGGCAGATGGCCAGCAGGCGCCAGAACTCCTGCACCATCCTGTCCTTGTTGCCGCACACAACACTCAAGAGCTTCGCATTTTGGAAGAGCAGCTTCCCATCAGCATATTTGTTCCAGAGGTAGGGGTTCTCCTGGGGTGGGGGATAAGCCAGTTATGGGTGGGTCACTGCCCGACACCCCCACCACCCAGTGCTGCATGGCCAGTGCTCACCTTATGCAGGGCCGCTTCCTCGTCTGGGCCTGGGAAAAGAGCCTGCTTCAGGTCTCAGTATCCCAGACAGTTTGGGGTCCCGCAGCCCCCAACCCCAACGCCAGTCTTCCTAGGGCCTGGACTCTGAACCAGACACACCACACAACAAAGGACACTCAGCCTCAGTTTTCCTTCTGCACAGAAGGAAAGATGGGGCCCCGTCTCCTGGGGAAATCTTAGAAGGGCCACCGGAGTGGGATGTGGCCCCACTGAGCGCATCTTGTTTGAACTGTTTGTGGTGAGTTTTAAAACTTGGCCTACTTTGAAAAACTGGGTGATTTCAAATAAAAGTCTAGCCCTAGAAACATGAAACATGAGAGAAACCAGCCCCAGTTGATGCCACTTACCACAGACCCCACTCTTCTCTATCACCCACCCCCTAGACCCTGGCTGAGGGTTGGGTGGCATTTCCATTTCTCATACTGATGACTGCCTGCTACACCCAATTCTTATCTAGCTGGGCCCTCTGTCAGCTCCTGCTCGAAACTTTGTCCCCTAGTTATAAACTAGACAAGCTTTTGTGTGGCCTGCGAGCTAAGAAGAGTTTTCCCATTTCTAATTGGTTGGGGAGAAATTAAAAGAAGAATATTGTCTCGTGAAACATGAAAATGCTATGAAATTGAAAATTAGTGTTCTCAGTAAAGGTTTGACAACAGAAGCAGAATACTCTGTTTCGTGACACATGAAGATGCTATGAATTTCAGATGTCAGAACCCACATTAGAGGTTTATGAAAACCAAAATAATACTATTTCGTGACACGTAAAATGCTATGAAGTTTGAAGCTCAGTGTTCACACCCAGCAGCAGCTGCTGGCCAGGGACAAGGGCTGAGCTGAGTCTCCACAGAGACGGTGGAGCAGGGGGAGCTAAAAATATTGACTTGCGCCCAGCCGGCCGCGGCTCAGCGGTTGAGCATCGACCTAGGATCCAGGAGATCGAGGTTCAATTCCCGGTCAGGGCACATGCCTGGGTTGCAGGCTCAATACCCAGTCGGGGGTGTGCAGGAGGCAGCCAATCAATGACTCTCTCATCATTGATGTTTCTATCTCTCTCTCCCTCTCCCTTCCTCTCTCTGAAATATATATATTTATATAAAGAGAGAGAGAGAGACTTGCTGGCCCATTACAGGAATAGCTTGCTGATCCCCAAAGAGGACGCCTTTGGCTGCAGTTCTGTGATTCGGATCTGGGTGGGAGTGCTGGGGGTGGAGCTGAGGGCAGGGCAGGGCAGCCGACTATGAGACCCACTCAGGCCTCTGGCGGTAGCAGTTCCCCAGGGGCCCTCCTGCATCCAATGGTCGGTCCTTGCTGGGCAGCCCCACGGGGAAAGGACACGTCAGGGCCAGGCCCACCGTAGACAATGCCGTTGATGCAGCACTTCTTGAAGGTCATGATGTTCTGTGTGAGCGTGCCAGTCTTGTCCGAGAAGATGTACTCCACTTGGCCCAGCTGGTCATTGAGGCTGGTGCTGCGGGCTTTGGCAGGCATATGCTGGGACATCTGCATGTCCCAATTGATGAAGATGCTGTTCCCCAGGTAGATGAATTCCACTCTGCAAACACACGCTGGGTCATGCCCTGGCCCCTGACCCACCTGAGCTCCCATTCTCTCTAGCTGAGTAGTGGGTGGGGAGGCCCTGGGACTCACATGATGAACATGGCCATGGGCACCATGGCACTGAGGAGGATGAGGAAGCTCCAGAAGGTGAAGAAAGACTCGGTGGTTACACTATACATGAGGTTCTCAGACACATAGTGGTGCTTGGCCTTGAATTCCTTCACCTTATCCCAGAAGCCCAAAGTCAAGGCCGTAGAGATCAGCACCAGGCACATGAAGATCTGCTCAGCAAATGGGAGATGGTAGAGCATGTGAAGGGACCCGGGGCAGCACCGAGGCACCCCAGGGACTTGCCAACAAGGACACACTCAGTGTAAAAGACAAACAAGAGATGGGAACCCCCCACACACACACCTAAGCTCTTCCATCAGGATCCAGGAGTGGGGCTGGGGGGAGGTGACTGGCAGTCCTAGGGGGAGGGGAACTTGCAGGGTTTTTGCTGGGTTTTGTGGTTGCTATTTTAAAAATTACTACAATAACTTTTAAAAAGATAAAGTTGAGCCCTGACCGGCATGGCTCAGTTGTTAGAGTGTGGGCCTGGGCACCAAAGGTTCTCAGGTTCAATTCCCAGCCAATCCTGGGCTGCAGGTTTGAACCTCAGTCAGGGTGCATGCTGGAGGGAAGCAGTCAATGCGTGTGTGTCTCTCCCTACCCCCACCCCTGGCCTCTCTTCCACTTTCTCTAAAAAGTGATGGGAAAAAATATCCTCAGATGAGGATTAACAACAACAACAACAAAGATAAAGTTGATTAGGCAGAAAGTTAAAATTATTAAATAAATGTCCATGGAGGGTAAGTGAGCATTTTATTATCTTCTATGGGTTTGGGAAAATGTTAGGATCAAAATTTATTTTATAAAGACATTTTTTAAAATACCATGATTATAAGAAGATTATTTGGCCCACAGACCTTGAATTCCTTCACCTGTAGGATCAGGCTGCACATTGTGCAGAGGAGGGAAATTGAGGCCTGAAAAATGACAACCAAGGCTTCTGTCTATGGGAAGGGGCTCTTGCCCTTCCCTCCTCTGTTCCCCACACTCCAGGGCAGGGGTTCTAGGCAGCTCACCAGGGTCACCAGCCTATTCATCAGACGGTCTATCTTGGTCCTCTTCAGATGGATCTTGCCACAGTTCCTCATTATCTTTGTGTTTAAACCTGCAGAGTTTGCGTCGTCTGTTTGTCCATCCATTCATCCATCCATCCATCCATCCATCCATCCATCCATCCATCCATCCATCCATCCATCCATCCATTCCATCCTCCATCCCTCTGGCACCCCACCCCTCTACCCACCCAATCACCTGCCCAACCACCCATCCATCTACATACAAACAAGCACCCCACTTTTTCCAGCCAATTAACAAAGGTGCTGGCTCAATATGTACATTTCCACCATTTTAGAAACCAGGCCCCACAGAAGCCATGCCGGGAGCCTCACATCTATGGCAGCAGACACACAGCAGCCACACAGCAGCCAGGCCTGGCCTTGTGAGTTCTTGCCAACGTTAGGGTTCTCACCCACCCTCACCAGGCCAGCTCATGCCGCAGAGGCCCCAGAGCAGCCATACCAGCATAGATGACCATTCCGTAGCATGTGTCTGTGTTTCGGATCTTGCAGCCACGTAGGAGGATGTTGCCACTGTCCAGGGAGTATTTCTTGCCCTCCCACTTCAGGTACCCCATAAAGTGGTGCATCCGACTGTTAGGTTCCTCACATACCACTTTGCCTATGGGAGACAGAGCAATCAAGGAACTGAGGGCATGGCTGGGGTCAGGCCACCCCTCTCCAACGCAGGGTGGGGCAGGGTATAGGGAACATTCTGTCACCCTCTGGCTCCAGCAACCTCCATGGGCCCTGCACTGCCCCAAACTTGCCCCACTGGCACCTCCACCCCCTTGCCATGCAGTCTCCTCCTAGATGCTCCAAAGCTGACTGATAAGCCTCAGGGCCTTTGTGCACGCTCTTCCCTATGCCAGGACTCACACCTCATCAGGGAAACCTTCTAAGATCCTCCAGCCAGATCCGGTTCCCCCCACCCAGAGCTCCCTTCCTCCTGGTTACAATCCTGGGAGGTCAGTAGACATTTATTCCTGCCAGTGGTGTCATGAACACCAATAAGTTCTTTGAAAGAAGGTGCCAGTCTCGTCTCCATAATGCTGGGGACCCAGGGGCCTAGCCAAGCACCTGGCACACAGTGTGTGGCCCTCCATGAAAGTGAGGCTTTTCCTCAGATATCATGGAAACAAATGCAGCCAGTGCTTGAATATCAAGAGCAAAAGGGCTGTGATTTGAGAGAAAGATTCTGCTCCAGAACCTATTAGATTAACTTGTCTTTGCAACAAGACAGGAAAAAAATAATGTATCCCCTTGCTGAGCTCTGGCAAGCAATAGTTGTACCCACAGGCATGAAATACCTTCCTTTTCAGGTGGAAAATAAGAAACTGCGATGGATGGGTCAGTTCCCTGTCTCTGTGCACACAGACTGCCTTTTTGATTAAAAAACCAAAAACATCTGCTTTAATGTGATCACATTTTAAAAATAAAATGTAGCTGGGCCAGCGTGGCTCTGCAGTTCAGCATCGATCTATGATCCAGGAGATTGTGGTTCGATTCCTGGTCGGGGCATGTGCCCAGGTTACGGGCTCATTCCCCAGCAGGGGTCCTGCAGGAGGCAGCCAATCAATGACTCTCTCATCATTGATGTTTCTATCTCTCTCCTTCTCCCTTTCACTCTCTGAAATCAATATAAATAAATAAATAATAAAATGTAATGCCTGATAAAATGCTGCATGTTTTATAACAATAATAGAAAACACCCTGACTGTTACATGGATTCAAAGGACATGAAACAGGCCTGGGATAAGCTGGCCTACTGAAAGCTATTTTACTCTGGCCATTGTTACTGAGTGGTTAGAGCATCGACCCAAGCACCAAAGGGTCACAGGTTCAATTCCCAGTCAAGGGCATGTACCTCAGTTGCAGGTTTGATCCATGGCCCCGGTCAGGGCACGTGCAGGAAGCAACTCATCAATGTGTCTCTCTCACATTGATGTTTCTGTCTCTCTCCCCCTCTCCCTCCCTCCCTTCCACTCTCTCTAAAAATCAATGGAAAAATATTCTCAAAACAAAAAAGCTATCTCGACCCCCAACACCCCCAGCAGACCCCATCACCATCCCCAAAACCTTCATGCCTGCTGTACAGAAGGGCAGACGGAGGCCCAGATGGGTTAGATGAACAGGCCACCTCTCACCTTGGAAGGAGGCCATCTTCCTTACACTGGTCAGCTTGTGGTGCGTGACCATCAGGGCCTGCCTGAACTTCAAGTTGGTCTCCCTGGTGATGAGAAGGGAAACAAGGTGAGAGGTAGGGACAGACAGCACCCAGGCAAGGCACTCCTAGCCCCCAGTCACTCAAGCACTTTCACTGAGCCCCCACTGTAGGCCAGCTGCCAATCAGGAGGCTGAGACCCAGAGAGGGAGAGGGCCTTGCTCAAGTTTACACAGGACACTTGTGAAATGGCTAAGGCCAGACCCTAGGCCTTCTCATTTTCGGACAGCCGCACCTGGAGCTCAGTAGGGCCTCCAGAAATGTTGGTGCAAAGAAGGTAGGTCCCACTGTCTGATTTAATGTTCTTGCCCCCTGCCAGCTTGCAGGTGCCCCACGAATGCTCCCAGGACCTACACATTCCAGTGGGCTTGGGAAGCCACATTTTGTGGCCATTGGGGAAGGTCTCTCTGGCTCCCAAGCCCCCAAACCCCCAGTGATGACCCACGCCTCACCCATCGATGTCTGTTGTCTCCACGTAGCACAAGCTGCTGGGCTCCGTGCTGGCCAGCAAGAGCACATCGGCCTGGGGTGGGGAGGAGGAGGGTGGGAGGAAGAAAACAGCATTGTGGGGGGGAGGGGAGCAGGAGAAAGACAAGCAGAAAGGCAGCCCTTCCCCAGGGGTGGGGAGTTCTGAGCCAGGTTGACACCAGCTCACCGGGACAATGTTGTCTTTGTGCAGACAGACCAGGTCCCCCACACGCAGGTCCTTCCATTTTTTCCACAGAAAGCTGTAAGGGGTGGGCAGCAGGTGTGAGAGGGGACCCCAACCAGGCCCATCTTTGGAACCCCTAGAACCTTCCACCATGCCACCCCCAAGCCGGAAGAACAACAAGGGGGGACAGCCAGGGACTGCAGCTGCCCTTCAGGTGCTCTGAGCAGGTCTTTGGCGAGGGGCTCAGCCCATGCAGGAAGTCCAACCTTCCCTAAGCCCCTCCTCCCAGTTCTTCATCCAGGTCCCTTCAGACTTTCTCTGCCTCCCCCTTCAGCTGAATTCTCAGCCCTGTAAAGGTTAACAATCAGATCCTCAGCCTCTGTCCCCATCACAGTGCCCACCCCCTAGCCTGGTACACAGCAGGCTGAGTTCCTGTCAGACACCAGACTCAACCAGGTCGCTCGGGGGCATGGAAGGTTCCGGGCACTCTGCTGGGCACCCCTCCTTCACCCTCGCATACATACATACACACCTCAGCTATGCTGGAGTCCCTTCCTCAGGATGAACTCCCCACAGAGAGCCAGAGGCCTCACCTTGTCCCCACCAGCATCTGGCAGGGCCTGTTGTTGATGATCCTGTCACTCCTATGTCGCCCCTGAGTCAATAGGGGTGGGTCAGAGGGGTCACCCCACCCAGCCCTGCCCCTACCCAGGGTGGTCCCACCCCCAGCCATGCCCTATCCTGCCTCCACATGGCCCTGGTGAGGGCCCAGGTGCAAAGCACAGTTCCAACTCACACACATGGCACTGACAGTGAACACATGCCAGCCACAACTGTCCGGGGACCCTGATGGAGGAGAGGGGCTACTGGGACAACTGCTATTGGCAGAGAAGGAACGTATAGTCCGCCTGTCACCCAGTGTGGCAACAAGGGCCAGTGAGCCATGGGCACATGTCCCTTGTGACAGTAAAACAAGGACCTCACCCTGCCCCCGTTCCCCTCCCCAGATGTCCCTCTACCGACCCCACTCACGATGTCGTCTGCCAGGTCTCGGGTGCCCCGGATGATGAGGAGGCAGATGAGCGGGGCGAAGAGCGTGAACCAGGGCAGTGTAGAGATCTCGGGGATGCCCTGACACAGAGGGTGGGGCATGCCGGGAGGGCAATACTCAACCACCATCCCAGGCACTCCCCTAAACTGCTTCCTCCTGCCCTCCCACCCAGTCCCTCAACCTAGCATCCTATGTGCCACCTGCCAACCACCTGGACTCCAGGCGAGGCACCTCCCCCTACAAATCTTGGGACAACTGTCGATCTATTTCCTCTCCCTGCCCAGAACTTCTCCCTAGCAAGCTCATGTCCCTTCCATGCCCAGTCCCCATGTCACATCCGCCAGGAAGCCCTACCAACCCAAAGCTTCTTCCCTCCTTAGCACCTTGGCTTTACTGTTCCTCTCCCTATAGCCCTGCTCCTCCCAGTCACCCTTCAGGACTGAGCTCCAACTGAACCCCAGACCAGCCTGGTTGGGGGGTGGGTCCCCTTCCCATCACTGGTCCCCTCCATATGGTTTAATGACAGTGGGTATCAGGGCCACTGCCAGGTCCCCAATGTCCAGCATAGGACCTGTGCACAGTATGTTTATTGGATCAATGGGTAAAAGCAGAGGATCAGAACAGAATGAGATATTGAGTGGGGGTCAGGGCACTCTGTAAACTGCCCACTCAGAGAGAGAGCTGCCCAAGCGGGACATCTGCCCCTTTGGCAGGGCCACCCAGGTCCTAGGAAATGGCCTGGCAGGTCCCGAGAACTTGCTCTCAACCCTTCTTTCTTCTTCAGTGAGCTGGGGCCAAGAGAGTCATGTGGCCAGGAGTATCCATCTTGAAGAGGGGTTGCACCCTCCTTGGACCTGGAGGAGCCATTCATGCACCGTCATCATTGACCATATACTAAGAGCACTTTCTGTGTACCAGGCCCTGGACTGGGCAGTGGGGACTCAGCCATGAGGGTGCTTCCAGTGTATGAGGAGCCAGACACTGACCCCCCCAACCATACAGACAAACACACATTTGAACCTCTGTGTGTCTACAGAGCCATGGGGCTAAGGTGGCAAAGGAGGGCTTCCTGGAGGAGGCAACTCGAGCAGGCAGAAGGAATGGGGTGTGTGCAGGTGCTGACCCCTGGGACCACCTCACCCTGACCCACCTGGAGAATGATGATAAAAAAGAAGTAGAGGTTGGACATCCGGTGGAACTGCTCGTACAGGTTTAAGGGCAGGAAGGAGAAGAAGTTGTACTTGGCTGTGTGGATGACATTGCCCTAGAATGAGAGCCAGCATAGAGGCGCTGCCCAGGCCAGAACTCCACCCTGGCCTCGCCCTCCCCTTTGGCCACAATTAGCAATAATTAATCACCCAGTGCATGTAAAACCTCCAGCCAGTATTAACTGTCTACCAAATCCAACCTTGAGCCAGCTCCACTGAGCACCTGCTGAATACAAAGCCCTCAGGGCAGCATTTACTGAGTGTCAGCTCAATGCAGAGCTTTGAGCTAGTATTAATTGAGCCCCTACTGAATGCAAAGATTCATCAAGTAGAGCTGTGACCCCAGTATTTCCCAAAGTGAGACACACCCAAGGGGATTTTAAGCAGAGCCTAATGATCACACTGTAGTTTGAAAGTTTAGTATTTACTTATTTTAACATGAACTGGGGTGGAGCCAAGGAAACACAGGAAACTCCAGCACCATTCGTTCATGATTAAAATTGGGGGTAGGGAGTAGGCTGGGTGGGAGAAGGTAGGGGAGGGCAGTGGGGCTAGGGCCACCCACCTTGTACTTTTTCCTCTGCCAACACAGGAAGGCCTTCTCCTTGAATTGGCTGTTGTAGGTCTGGTTGTTGGCTTTCACCTCCCAGGTGAACGCTGAAGCCAGAGGGAGTAGGATGTTGCACGGGGTGCAAGGGATGCAAACGAACACTGCCTAAGGATCCCCCAGAGGAGGTCTAATGGGCCCCCAGGGGAACCACCATGGGTGTGGGAGCCAGTAAACAACACCTCGCTGGGCCAGTCCCCAGGCTAAGAGGACAGGCCCTGGGAGATCCATTCACACCCACTCCTTCAACAAAGGGGGGTAAAACTCTGGTGCCCAGCTCCAAAGTGTGCAAAGCTGCTCGCCCACCCCGGGCAGCCCAGCTATTTCAGATCAGCAGCCCCCAATTCCTGAGTCTAAATTTCAGTTATGGGATTTGGGACTATTTGTAACCCAATGAGAACCCCATGATGGGCCTGTTGAATGAGCTTAGAGGCTATCCCTATCCCCACATTTCAGCCACCACACTCTGCAATGCCCCTTGGCTTCCTCCACAGACCCTGCACCCCACACTTGGCCCCAAAACATGCACCTGAGTTCTTCTCCTCCTCAAGGTCCTCGCCGTAGGCCAGACTGTCCATGATGGTGGGGCTGTCAGGGAGAGGGGCCCAAGGTCAGCCCTTGCCAGACACTGTCCATTACTCTGCCCTCTCCAAAATGTTACCTCCCACTTCCATCGGCTGCCCCCTCCCCAGGCTCTGAAGGTCCAGCCACTGGCTGTGTGTTCTTACCTGGGGCCTTCACTGATCCCCAATCCTTCAACAGCCCCACATCCACCAGTCTTCCAGCTACCAAGCTGAAGTTGCCTTTACTTCCATTACAGCCGGGCTCAGGATGGATTCTATCTCTGACTGCCCACCCCCAGTCCCATCCTCCAGCCAGGACACCATCCCTCTCCTGGGATGGCCACACCCATCTCCCCCTGGGTCTCTCTGCTGTCCCTTCCTGACCCAATGCCCACATGGGACACAATGCCCACCCCAGTGAAGGGCTCCGTCAGTATTTGTTGATTGACTACACGGGCCCTAGAGTTACTCATTATATCACTAAGCAGATAGAGGGCCATGCTGCTCTGAGAGATCTGAACACGGTCTCAGGGCAGTTAACCATGATGGAGGCAGACACCAAACCTTCCACAGAGCCGAGAACCTTCCCACAGCCTACTTAGTTCATGGTCACTCCTTCGGTGCCAGGAATTTGTCTCACCAGGGGACCCTCAGCAGCTCTCCAAGCCCTTGCCAGGGCTGTTTCCTTGGCCCCAGGGGAGCACCCTTCCCGCATACTTGGTCACTGCCTCCTCACCCTTCTGGATTCAGTTCATAGTTCTCAGACGGGCCCGGCTTGCTCAGGCACCTCCTCTGGGCTCCCCCTCTGCATGGGTTGTCCCCCATATCAGGTCTCATCACCCTCTCTCCTCTGCTTCTTTGCCTCTCTGGGCCACGTCTTAACTGGAAATCTCCCAGGGCAGGAGGGCTGGTGTCTGAGTCTAGGGTTTCCCTGGAACCATGGCTCAGGGCCAGGACCTGGCTCAGGGCCAGCTCTGACTCTCCTGGGAGCCTGAGCAGTGCTGCGTCCATTCCCCAAACGAAGAGAAGCGAGACTCAGTCAGTGGGACCTGGAGCCCAGGGAGGCTCCGCACTGGGCAGGTGGAGTTGGAGAGGCGCTGGGATGGCCAGAACTCACCCAAAGTGTATCTGGGGTAGGAAGACACTCTAGTGCTTGCCCCCTCCTCACTCCCACTCAGGTCACTCAGCGCCCCATTAGCTCCCCCCCCCC